ATACAGAAGTTTTATGGTTAGTGGTCAAATTGGTCTTAGTTCTTCATCAGTCATTTCCTTCTAATCGTCATCCCTCCTATGCTGAGCCAATGGATACTCCTGGATCTTTATTGCTGCTCTTTTTCTATCTGTCCGGAATGTGCACCTGGGAACTAGAGAATTGGGGAGCCTTGTTCCATCACCCCATTGCCTGTTCTTTCTCATCATTTGGTTCTTGGCTTAAAGATTACATACTTATGACCGGGAATGGTAGCTCATACCTGTAGTCCCAGCACTTTGGGAGGCCAGAGCAGGTAGATCGCTTGAGCCCAGGAGTCCATTTTTTTTTTTTTTCCTTTTTGAGATGTTGCCCAGGTTGGAGTGCAGTGGCCCGATCTCATATCACTACAACCTCCACCTCCCGGGTTTAAGTGATTCTCCTGCCTCAGCCTCCCGAGTAGCTGGGATGGCAGGCATCTGCCACCATGCCAGGCTAATTTTTGTATATTTAGTAGAGATGGGGTTTCACCATGTTGGCCAGGCTGGTCTTGAACTTGTGACCTTGTGATCCACCCGCCTTGGCCTCCCAAAGTGCTAGGGTTACAGGCATGAGCCACCATGCCCAGCTATGAGCCCAGGACTTCAAAACCAGCCTGGGCAACATGGCGAAACCCCATCTCTGCAAAAAATTAGCTGGGTTTGGTGGCACACCCTGGCAGTCTCACCTGTTTGGGAGGCTGAAGTGGGAAGATCACTTGAACCCAGGAGGTCAAGGCTGCAGTGAGCCGTGATCGCACCACTGCATGACTGGGTGACAGTGAAACCCTAGCTCAAAAAATAAAAAATTATATCTCCTCAGGTGTTCCTGACCACATTAGCCAGAGTAGCATCCCTTGCCCCACTGCCTAGTCCCTTTATCCTGCAAAAATCTTGTTTACTTTTTTAAGTCTCTTTCACCAGAATATGAGCTCCCTGAGGTCAGGGACCTCCTCAGTTGTGGTCACCAGTATATTCAGCTCCTCTGTCAACCTGCTATGTGTTCTTGGGCAAACCCTTCTCCTTTCCAAACCTGTTTCCTCATCACTAACATGGAGATCATACTAATCGTGAATGAGAGTTTCAGAAAAGAGCATGTGTCTGAAAGCAATATATAACTCATAGTAGGTGCTGGGTAGAGAAATTATACCTGTGTGTCCTCCCGTTCCTGATAGATGTATGTTTACTTTATTTCTTTTTCTTTCTTCCTTTTTTTTTTTTTTGAGGAGTCCTGTTGGCCAGGCTGGAATGCAGTGGTGTGATCATGGCTCACTGCAGCCTCGACTTCCTTGACTCAAACAATCCTTCCACCTCAGCCTCCCAAGTAGTTAGGACTACAGGCACACGACATGATGCCTGGCTAATTTTTTTTCTCTTCTGTAGAGATGAGGTTTCACCATGTTGCCCAGGCTGGTCTCAGACTCCTGGGCTCAAGCAGTCTACCTGCTTCAGCCTCCCAAAGTACTGGGATTACAGGCATGAGCCACTGCTCCTGGCCGGGTTTACTTTTGTTTGTTTGTTTTTGAGATGGAGTCTTGCTCTGTCGCCAGGTTCAAGTAGGCGATCTTGGCTCACTGCAACCTCCTCCACCTGGGTTCAAGCAATCCTCCTACTTTAGCCTCCTGAGTAGCTGGGACTACAGGTGCATACCATCACACCTAGCTAATTTTTTGTATTTTTAGTAGAGACGGGGTTTCACCATGTTGGCCAGGCTGGTCTCAAACTCCTGACCTAAAGTGATCCACCTGCTTCGGCCTCCCAAAATGCTAGGATTACAGGCGTGAGCCACCGCACCTGGCCCATGTTCACAGACAGCCAGATCTTGTGTATGGTTCTCGTTAAATTTTGGATCTTTGCTCTTTTTCACACTGTGGAGTGTGAGGCCATGTCCCCCCTCCTGTACCTAAAAAGATTGATTTCATGAAACATAGTTGCAGAAATACTTTTTATTTGTTCCTTTAGTATTCATTGATCCTATCCTCTGCAAGGTACTGGAGCTATAAACTCTGGTCTGATTTCCTGGCAGGGTGCCTTGTGTCTGGAGGAGGAGATGAACGGGACCTAAACAGTTGTACTGCATTGTGGTCAGTGCTCTGAAGGCTGGGGACCTTCACGGAAGCAGAACGGCTGGTGTCAGAGAAGCCTCCTTGCGGGAGGCTCTGGAGCTGAGTCCAAAGAGTTGAGAGGTGGTTACATCAAGCAATGAGTGAAGGAGGGAAACTTGTTTCCTTCAGACCAGGGGCAGCATTGGGCAGGGCAGGGGTGGGAGGCTCCCTCAGGCTCTGTTCGCCCCCTGCTGTCCGTTCTCCACACAGCACCCAGAGCTGTCCTTTGGAAACATCAGGTGTTTTCACTCTTTACCTCAAAACTTGACAGTGGCTCCAGAAATCATACTCAGTAGAAACCAAGATCATCACTTGGTCTGCCTGGCCGTCTGTGGTCTGTTCCCTGGCTCCCAGCTGCCGCCCCTCCCCTGCTCCCTGCCCTTCAGCCATACTGGCCCCATTGCTTTTCCTGAAAACGTGCCTAGGCATTTGCCCACCCCAGGGCTTTTGTGCTTGCTCTTGGTGCTATCTGGAACACTCCCTGGAAACCAGCATGGCTAACTTCCTCATTTCCTTCAAAAGTCTACTCACTATAGCCTTGGTGAGCCTTCTCTGATGATGTATTTCACATCGCATCAGCCCTGCATTCCTAGATCCCATTTCCCTGCTGTAGCTAACATTCATGTTTTACTTCTGTTTTGTTAATGTCCAACCCCCATCCCCCTCCCACAAATGTCAGTTTCACAACATGGGATTTTTGTTATATTTTGTTCACTGCAGCATCCTCAGGCCTAGAACGTGTCTGGCAAAAGGAAGGTTGCCATGTAGTTACTGAATGAGTAGCAGTCTTAGCAAATTTCATCTTTTTCAGCCCCACTCTCCAATCTCTGGGGGATATTTTGGACTTAGATTCTGACATTTTTGTTTTTACCTTTCTTTCCCCTTTCTTTCGGGGTTGATTGCAGATTGATTGAGCTGTCCTAAATTGTCATCCAAGTTCTTGCATATTCTTATTCTGACAATGTTGGGTGTGTCAGAGCCCTGTATCATAGGCTTCAACTGGATACATAGATGGGGGTTAAAATGTTTTTAAATAGAAACAATACAGTAGAATGAAAAGGACTGTTTTGAAAAAAAAAATGAAACCTTATCTATAATTCCTTGCTCTTAACATGGCTCTTTTTTTTATAATCTCCTCTAGCCTTTTGTTTTCTTGTCATTGCAGTCACCAAAGCACTTCATTTTGCATTTTGCTGTTTTCACTTAACATTATAATACACAGCTTTTGTGGTGGTATAACATGGTCTAATCACCATTGGTAATATGTGTATTACATTCCTATTAGTGGATATTCCATAACTTACTTGGCCTTTTCCCTAATTATTGGACATTTTTAGTTCTTTCTGCATTATACTATTGCAAATGTCACTGTACTTTGGTACATGATGAATTTCCAGGAGGGTGACCAGGGCAGACTGAGTACTGTATAGCAGTAACCACTCTTGTGCCCCACTCCTCCCCTTCAGAATAGCCCCTGCCACACAGTAGGAGCTCAGTGAGTGTGTTGACTGACATTGGATCTCATACACGTGCCACCCACTACATTGTACTCTCATGTCCACAGAGCCCTGTCATCGTACCCAGGCTCCAGATCTGAGAGGCATCAGGCTATTTGGCACTTTATAAGAGGAACTTGTTTACCCTTCCCTCCTGCATTCGAGAGTATTCTTCTGTCACAGGGGAGTGGGTGTCAGTGACTGGATTGTCAGCCTTTTGCCTTCCAGAAAAACAAGAATTCATTGTGCAGTCTCCACCCAGTGTTGAAGATTCCCCCTCCCAACCCGTTAGTCCCTGGGGGTGACGAACTGTTTTCTTTTGGTGAATGAAGCCTCTGTTTCTAACAACTCTCAGCCTTTGAGGGTCTTCTGACTGGATTCTAGACCAGTCTGGAGGGGCCACCTGAGATCAGGTGTACCTCAGGCCCAGTTTCCATCCACAGGAAGAGTGAGGCCTACTTCAGTGAAGCAGCCATTTATCACACTCCCAACTCTGCAGACCTTTGTAGAGTCTCTAAGAAATAGGCATAGTACCTAATGCATGTCTCAGAGAGGCACAGCCAGGGACTGGGGAGTCACAGGTAGGCAGATCCCATTGATTGGGGGATCAGTCAGGGCTTTGTGGAGGATGACGTCTTAGATGGTCTAAGACATCTAAGTTTGTTGGATTTCAGCAGAGAAGAGGCCTTGTGGGGTAAAAAGATGAGGAGATAGGGAGATGTGTCACAGAGCTAGAGAGTGGAGGGAAAGGTAAGACAGGTGGGAGGGACAGGCCTGCCGTGGCAGAACCGACTGCCCCTCTGCTACAGATGCCATGTGCAGGAGTAGCCCACCTGAGCATGTTCTGGGTAATTGAGATCAATGAGCCCCTTTCCGAGGCATACTTCTTATAACTGCTGTGTATGATACGATCTCAGATGCCTGCTGAAGTCACTGAGTCTATCCTTATGTGCAGTTCGGGCCATACCACAAATGACAAAGTTTTGTTGTCCTGTTAAGACACCACTCTCTGGGTTTTCTTAAATCATCGGAGTCCCGTCCCCCAGCTATGCCAAATATGTTATGTGACTCATGGACATGTATATACATGGGAATGGTGTTTATATTCTGCTCCCCAAAGCTGAGGAGGGTGGGATAATAGTGCCTGGTGGGCAGAGCGCCAGGAGCAGCCTTGTTCCACGTGGGAGTGTGAGTGGGGGTGTGAGTGGATGCTCTGGGCACTGGAGGAGCACATCAGATCAGCCTGGGGAGCTTTGAGGGGGTGCCAGGTGCCTGTATTACTTGTTTGTTGTTGGAAGACAAATGTGTGATTCATCTGCTTGGGGCATGAGGAAGTTAATCCTGCCTCTTGGCCCCTCCTAACCTTGGTCTGTTTTTCTGGTAGGCAGAGGTGGAGGAAACACTGAAGCGACTTCAGAGCCAGAAGGGAGTGCAGGGAATCATCGTGGTGAACACAGAAGGTATGCCCTCCCTTCCTCCTGCCGTGACTCACACCCAGGCAGGCCCAGAAGCAACCATAACAGCATAGCCCTTGCTGTTTACTAAGCCCTTCATGAACCGAATCTTTTTTTTTTTTTTTTTTTTTTTGAGGTGGAGTTTCGCTCTTGTTGCCCAGGCTGGAGTACGATGGCACGATCTCAGCTCACTGCAACCTCTGCCTCCTGGGTTCAAGTGATTGTCTTGCCTCAGCCTCCCGAGTAGCTGGGATTACACGCATGCACCACCACACCCGGCTACTTTTGTATTTTTAGTAGAGATGGGGTTTCGCCTTGTTGGTCAGGCTGTTCTCGAACTCTTGACCTCGTGATCCGCCCACCTCAGTCTCCCAAAGTGCTGGGATTACAGGCATGAGCCACCGTGCCCGACTGAACCGGATCTAATAAGCCTTTTTAATTTTTAATACCTTCAGTGTTCTTTTTTTTTCTTTAAGGCTCGTCAGATGAAGCAGTGGGAGTGGAGAAGGGACAAAGAAATCAGTAACTGGTTGTGAGCAATTAGTTGTAAACACTACTGCACTTGAACCAGCCACCTCCAGTGTCCTCACAAAGGGAAAGTCCACTCAGTGCCACCACCCTGACAGATCACACTCCAGTCTTTTGTGCTTACTCAGCCTCATCCAGCACAGTTCCTGAGGACCATAATCACAGCTGCTATCCTTTGGCATACATTTACACATGAGCTTTTTAAAATATTGCTTCATGGTTTGTATAAGCAGATTTTTAAAGTGCCACTACAATGTTCATTAGCCCAGTTCTGTTGTTTCTACTTTTTAGTGAATCCATTAAGTGGGTTTTACATACCCATTTGTGTTGATTCTGCTTCACTGGCTGGATAGTTCTCTAGTTAACTTCTCTGTACCTGCAGCTTCCCTGCCACAGCCCTTTCTGGGTGAGAATTTATATAGGTAGAAGGGTACAGATACTAATTTTCCCAGACTGCACTGGAGAGGAAGGGAGCTAACGTTTTTCATACACCTGCCCTGTCTGTGCCAGGCTTCTGGCTCGTGCTCCACATACTCTCTCATATTCCTTAAAGCAGCCCTGTTGTCTGCATTTTGCAGTGAAGAAAACAGTCTAGAAATTTAATTGATCTGCCTGCCATCACAGAGTCAAGACTTAAATCCAAGCCTGTCTGAGTGCGCTTGTGTGCTTTCTCCCACACCATGCTGTAAGGAACCAGAATGGCCCCCAGGCTGTCGCACTCCAGCAGTAAGGACAGGGACTCTCGAATCCAGCAGTTGTAAGTTTGAATCTTGCCTCTTCTCCTGACTAGCTTTGTGACTTGCCCAAGTCGCTTAAGCCTATAAATGGGGATAAAACTTATATCTACCTTATAAGTTGAATAATAACGGAGAATGAATGGCATAAAGCAGTTAGTCACCATCCATTTTGAGCTGTGAGGCATTTGTTCATACAAACCCTGATTTACCTGATTGGGTTCCCCTGTTGGGTTGGAGGCATCCACATGCTTCATGCCGCTAGGCCACAGTGTTTCCCAAATGTATTCCTGCTTTGAAATCACCTGGGGCTCCTGTTAAACATAACTTTCCAGGCTTCTGCACCAAAAAGTCTCATTTATTAGGGCCAAAGCAAGACCCAGGGAATCTGTGTGTTTACCAAGCATCCCAGGAGATTCTTATGATCAGACAAGTTTAGAAAATTCTGCTTTAGGGGTTAGATTCTGATCAGAGAGCTACAGGCCTAAGATTCACAGCAGTTCTGTCACCTTCCAAAGGCTTTCCCTTGGAAAGACTGCCTCTGATCATGTTTCCAGGGCCATATTCCTTAAACCTAGGGGTCCTGTGCTCTCCCTGGGAGTAGAGGTAGAGGTTGGGGTTCCTGTCCTCCATTTCAGTCAGAGCACACACACTGAACCATCAGCTTGTGATTCTACATTGGTTTTAATTTGGGAAGGGGTTTGGCCAATTTAAAAACTACCCTACTACTACTAAAAAAAAAAACAAAAAACCCTACCCTACTAGACTTTACAAAAATAACATAAACCAATGTATGTGAGGCTGGGAGGAGAGGAGTCCACTGCGACACTGTTGCTGATAGCAGCAGCGTGGCCAGTGAAGGAAGACAAGGGCCATGCCTGACTCACCTCTGTTCCTGTGTCATTCACCACAGGCTGCAGAGTCAGGTCAGTGAACATTAAGTGAACCAGCCACAGTGAGTGTTGCCATCAGCTCCTTTGATTTGGAAATTCCCAAGGACTATGTTCAAAGGAAATAATCCCAAAGGAAAAAACCCAAAATTTTTGCAAGCCTGTTAGATGCCATAATCAGTAGATTAATAATTATTATAATGGCTGGGTGTGGTGGCTCATATCTGCTCCCAGCACTTTGGGAGGCCTAGCCCGGAGGATCATTTGAGCCCAGGGGTTTAAGACTAGCCTGGGCAACATAGTAAGACCCCCTACTCCACAAAAAAATGAAAAATTAGGCAGGCGTGGTGGTGTACACCTGCAGTCCTAGCTACTCGGGATGCTGAGGCAGGAGGATTGCTTGAGCACAGGAGTTCAAGGCTGTAGGGAGCTCTGATTGCACTCCAGCCTGGGCAACAGAGCAAGACCTTGTCTCTTAAAAAAAAAAAAAAAAAGTAATAATGGAGTGTGTAGGCCCTTCAGTGCCCAGCCCAGGGGCTGCTCCCACAGGCCAGGATTGACAAGCGGCCCTGTGGGTAGAGGTAATAGAGCAGTACCTGTATCTGTCACATGCCTGGCCTTCTGCTGGGCACGGTTTGATTACGTGTTTCTCGACTGCCTCACAGGGTAGACATTATTGTGGCCACCTTTATGGATACACATGGACATCCCAAGAGGTCAGGCCATGCCCAGTTGCTGGACTCCCCTCCCCCTACCCCCTGCCCCAGTTCTCTAGCCCAGTGTATTCAGTGGGCTCTAATTTTTTCAGTGCTCTTAGAGAGCCTCTAATTCATGATGTCAGTCTAGGCCTTGTTTTGGAGAAGCAGAGTTCTCAGCAATTCCTACTTAAGTCAAGCAGAATGAAGGCCATCAAGGGCAACAAAGTAGAGGTGTTGTGTCTGGATAGAATGTTGATTTCCAGCTGGATGCGGTGACTCACACCTGTAATCCCAGCACTTTAGAAGGCTTAGGTGGCAGATCACTTGAGGTCAGGAGTTTGAGACCAGCCTGGCCAACATGGTGAAACCTCATCTCTACTAAAAATACAAAAGTTAGTTGGACGGTGGCAAGCGCCTGTAATCCCAGCCACTCAAGAGGCTGAGGCAGGAGAATCGCTTGAACCGGGGAAGGCAGAGGTTGCAGTTAGCCAAGATCGAGCTACTGCACTCCAGCCTGGGCAACAAGAGCAAGACCTTGTCTCAAAAAAACAACAACACAATGTTGATTTCCAAGTCAGCAGAGCCCTGGCAAACACAGAGCTAGACAGAGCATGCTCCCCAGCCCTGCCCAGTTCTGATTAAACCATGTGATCATTTCATTCACAGGAGACTGGGAGCCCTCGGGACACTGTGGAGGCAGGAGCAGGCCCCCTGCTTAGGCTGCTCCTGATCAGCTGGGTGGCCTGAGGCAACTCCTTTCCCCTCTTCAGCCCCCAACTGCCTCGAGTGCAGTCATGGTGCAGGGAATCTCTTTTGGGTACCTCTTGCTTCAAGACCTGAAAGACTTTTGTCACTAAGAGAGAAACTTATGGGACTGGACATTTTGACTCCAAGGAAACAACCCCAGGGGCCGGCAGCCCCAGCTGTGACCCCTACGCTTCCACCCAGACTCGCAAAAGAGAGGTTCTCATTCTTGCCTTAAAACTGCCCCTAAAGCCAAGCCTTTTCACTGGGGAGATCTAGCCCCAGCTGCTTACCTTTTAGATACTAGTGAATGCTGCTTTTTTGTGTACTCATGGGGCCAATCGCACCATACCTGAGAACATGGAATGCAGAATGAGCCCACCTGGCTTTGAGTCCGGGCCCTACTTACTTAGCAGCTATGTGGTTTGGGCATAAGTCACCTTCTCTGTTCAGGTTTCTCATTTGTAAAATACAGATAATTCTGCCTTCCTCTAGGGGAAGTTTATAGAATAGTGCCTGGCATGGAATGCCTATGAATGTCTCAGTAAGTGTGTGTGTGTGTGTGTGTGTGTGTGTGTGTGTGTGTGTGTCTGTCTGTCTGTGTGTCTGTGTGTCTTTAACTTGCGTCCCATTTTCAGAGCACCCACATCAGTGTCTCGTTTACATCTCACACAGTGACCCTGCAAGGCAAGGGTTTGCCCATTTTTCAGATGAGAAACCCAAAGCTGAGAGAGGTGTGGGAAACTGGCCAAGGTCACCCAGCTGTAGATGGGTGTGGTCAGAACCCAGGATCTAGGTTGGTCGTACTTCCTACTGATCCATGGTGCCTTTAAGCCCTCTGGAAGCTTCCATTAAGGATGATTATTTGGGGATAATTGTATTTGGGATCCCTATGATCTTACCTAGCGTTTTCCTACCACCACCACCCCTCGCCCCCGACCCACTCTGCCCTGCCATTCAGCTCAGCTGCCTCTTCCTTCAGGACCCCCTCCCTGATCACCCCAGCCCAGAGTGGTTGCTCCTGCCCCTGAAACCCATGATATACCTGAGTCCTGATACTTTCCAGCCACCTGCCACTGCCTTTTGACATCTCTGCCTTGGCTAGATTCAAATGGTGTTTCATAATAAAAGTGTGAGTTTAAGCAGCTTTACTGAAAACTCGAGGGAAATTTTGTTCCATTTATACTTCTCCAGACCCCTGCCATCCTCTGCTGCTACCCACACAGGCAAAATAAAAGGCTGATGTGTGTAAGCCCCATGAAGGCAAAAATGGTCTCTTGTGTTCATTCCTGTCTGCAGTACTTAGGATGGTTTTGGCACAGAGTTGGTGTTTGACTAAAGTATCTGTTGAATTTTTTTGATGTTTTTTATTCCTTGAAGGAACTGGTGTGGAAGGGCCTGGGGGTGAATCCCAACAGATTGGAGCCCCAGGTTAGAAATCGTGCCTCCCTGGTGACCAGCTACTTCTGCAAGCTACACAGTGTTCATTTGTTAAGGCAGAGGCTGGGAGCAGGTGGCCTAGTAACTAGGCCATCTCTGAGGTCTCCTCCAGCTCTGGCAGCCAGTGAATTTGGAATTAATCTTTGTCCCTGTTTGAATTTCTTCCCCATTTTGGTCCCTTTCCCTGTACTTCCATGTTTTCTTTTGTTTTTGGAGTGAGCCAGTATGTTTAGTTTCTTGTCTGTTTCACACAGCTCCGGCTTGTATGGATGTGATTAGACTCAGGCCAGTATCTGTACAATCTACTGAAAGTAGACCCTTTGACCACTCACCAATTGCAGTCAAAGCTTAATACTCTCTCTCAGGGAGCACTAGTGAGCAAGTCAGACTTGGTCAAGCCCTTGGGGAGCTTACATTGTGGTGGGGGATGGAATAATGATCACTTTGTAATGGTGCAGTGTCAACCTGGGAACTGCTGACAGGAAAGGGAGCTTACATTGTGGTGGGGGATGGAATAATGATCACTTTGTAATGGTGCAGTGTCAACCTGGGAACTGCTGACAGGAAAGCTGTGTGGTGCTGGGACGGTGCCACCAGTAGGGATGGAAGTTGTCACCTGAAGATGGAGAACTCAGGGACCAAAGTGGGAGTCATGAGTGAATAGGGGAAGGAAACAAAGTTACGGGCAGAGGGATCTGTGAAAAGGTGGCTTTGTGGTATATAAAAAGAGAAGGTCAAGCGGTCTGATCACCCAAACCATGCCACATCTTGAGTCTATAGGCCTCTTACCATTAGGGCCCAAAGGTGAGCTAAGAGGAGGGCTCCCAGCCAGGTAGCAAGAACAGCCAACCCAGGGCTCCTCCTGGGCTCTGGTCCTGGCCTTTGGTGGGTGGGCTGTGTTTCAGTAAGGCCCTTTGAGGTTTAAGCAACAGTCACACCCCCTCAATTAATGGAAATAGGATTTATTGTGTGAGTGGTGTTTATTAACATATTTTAAGTGTACTCTTGCTAAATATTCTCAGATTAGAATTAAGCAATATTCAGCCCTCCCAGCTGAATAATATCTGAAGCACAGATATTATTTTACAGATAAGGCAGTGGAGGCTCAGGAGGTTTTATCACTTGTCCGAGCCCGTATAGCTATGGGGGGGCAAAGCTGAGTGTAAGGTCAATTTGGGGCCCTGTTAATCTGGCCATAGCTACCCAGCCTAGGAATCGGCTAAAGGCAGTCATGAGGCTGACCTGCTAGGTGGCAAGAAACTGGCCCAATCTTGTTTTCTTGGGGCCCCAGGAATGCGATGGTGGGCAGAAGGGGTCGTGGTGGCTCCTACCCCATTGTTGCCCCATCGTGGGTAGATTATAATGGACGCAATCATTACCGCTATCCTCAGGAAGCTTCACCTGTAGAGAAGGCCTCACAGGGTCCAACCATGCACATTGTGGCCATCCAGGAGCCAGCAACAGCCGTGGTGACCCGGTCATCTTGTCTCTTGCAGACAAGTGATGACAACAACCTGTTCTCCTGACTTCACTGTGGCTCAAAAAGTCCTCTGACTCACCTGCTTCTTTTGCCATCATGTCTTCTGCCCACCCTCGCATTCCTCGTGCCCTAGGAGATCAGGCCAGTTTCTTTACCACCCAGCCGGTCAGCCTGATAACTAACTGCTTCTGGCCAATACCTAGGCTAAGCAGCTGTGGGCCAGATAAGCAGGGTCCTGGGCCCCAAAGCTGGCCACTTACATATGAGGAGCCACTTGTACCACATTCCTCAAGTGCCTGTCAGCTGGCAGGCTCTTGGGGTTCATGGATGGAGCCTTCTGCTCATATGTCACAGCCAACTCACAGGTGCCTGCTGACCCAATTGAGCCACAGTCCTTACCTCTGTGACAGTAGGCACCATCCAGTGAGTAAGGTCCATTTAATGGTTCATCTCAAGGAAATAGTCCTCCAAACAAAAGGCTTGGTACACAGTGATGTTCACTGCCCAGATAATTATACTGGTAACAAACCCACCCACTAAGTAGCCAACAACAGGGGCTGGGGAGCTCTGTGGTCTGCCCACTCAGTGGGCTCTTTGAAAGAGGTAACAGTGCTATTTACAAAGGGTCAACATATGTTTCATGTTTCTCTGTTTGTCATACATACATAGAAACATGCTTTAACTTGGGCACAGTCATGTGGACAGTGTTTACAGCTGGACCCCAAGCCTCCCTTGGGTGGGAACGGTGATGGTTATATCCCAACACAAGTTGACTTTTTTTCTTCTACTTTTTGGTATTTAGAAATTTATAAGGCCAGGCGTGGTGGCTCATGCCTATAATCCCAGAACTTTGGGAGGCCGAGGTGGTGAATCACCTGAGGTCAGGTGTTTGAGACCAGACTGGCAAACATGGTGAAACCTGTCTCTACTAAAAATACAAAAATTAGCCAAGCGTGGTGGCAGGCGCCTGTAATCGCTGCTTCTTGGGAGGCTGAAGCAAGAGAATTGCTTGAACTTGGGAGGCTGAGGTTGCAGTGAGCTGAGATCATGCCACTGCACTCCAGCCTGGGCCACAGAGCAAGACTCTGTCTCAAAAAAAAAAAAAAAGAAAGAAAGAAAGAAAAAGAAATTTGTAAAAGCACTTCCTGGTTTGGGTTCTAAGCATTATGAAGAGAGTCTCCCTTTAAAAAAAAAAAAAAAAACTTTATTAGTTTTTTATTAGAAACCTTATTAGTTTTTTAAAAAACATTTTATTAGTTTTTTAATCTGTGTCTCTGCTTGAATCGGAGCTAGTCTCTCCTTTTACTGCTGGGAACCAGTCAGCCCTGGGAAAGGAACCCAGGAGTGAGCCAGTAGGCCTGTGTGTGAATCCTGGCCCCATTCTGTGACTACCGACAGTTCGCCTCACTGCTCAAAGCCTCCTGGAGAATGAGATGGTGTTGCCACCCACGGAGTAGTTCTAGGGCATGGTGCTGGCATGCTTTGGGTGCACAGCCCCATGCCTGTCACATAGCAAGCCCTCTGCGGATGGCAGCATTGACTGGGAACTGCTATTCCGGTTCTCTCCAGTTAGAGGTGTGGGTGGGAGCTCGGTTGAAGGGGCTCTCCATCCTCTCAGTCTCTGTCTGCTCTCCTCTCAGGCATTCCCATCAAGAGCACCATGGACAACCCCACCACCACCCAGTATGCCAGCCTCATGCACAGCTTCATCCTGAAGGCACGGAGCACCGTGCGTGAAATCGACCCCCAGAACGATCTCACCTTCCTTCGAATTCGCTCCAAGAAAAATGAGATTATGGTTGCACCAGGTAAGGGGTCTTCTGCCTTCCCATGTAGGAACAGACCTCACGGCACATTCTCTGGCTCATCAGGAGGCCTGGCATGGTGGTGTCTCCAGAGGATCCAAGCAGGGCCCAAGGAGTTGAAGGAATTGGGTTGTTGCCTCACCAGACTCCTGGGGGAGATAGACATGTGAGCATCACGCATGTCTCCCTGCCTTGATGGGGGAAAATTCAAAGGCATTTGGGACATAGAAGAGGGTGTGACCAGGCCTGTTGAGCTGTCTTGTCTGCAAAGGCTTCCCAGAAGAGGGGACATTGGAGCTGAATCAAGGGCGCAAGAAGCAGTGTGTGAGCAAGGTGGAGGGCAGAAAGCCACATTTGGAAGAATATTCAGTGATTCTGCTCCAAAATGTAAAGTAAAAGTACTGTATCATTTTATCCTTGAAAACATGTTCTCTGTCCACATGTTAAGGCCAGGCCTGTCTTAGGCCCTTGCAGCCAGCTTTTCCCCCTGTACCAGAGCAGATGCTGTGTTTCTTTCACATGAAGTGCTTGCCTTGCATTCGGGGCTGTGTGGTGCAACCAGTGCCTGTGTTTTGGCCTTGGGATCATTCTCACGGTGAGATGTTCATTCTGGCAGGGGCCCACAAGGATGGGAGCACAGGAGCAAACAACAGGGCCATGTCTCCTGCCCGGCCCCCTTGCTCTCACTCATGGACTGGGGTGGCAGACAGAGCCTCCAGGGCCGTCTTTGCACTGTTACTTTTTTCTCACTCTTGCTTTTTTTTTTTTGAGACGGGAGTCTCGCTTTGTCGCCAGGCGCCAGGCTGGAGTGCAGTGGCGCGATCTCGGCTCACTGCAACCTCTGCCTCCCGGGTTCAGGCAATTCTCCTGCCTCAGCCTCCCAAGTAGCTGGGATTACAGGCACGCGCCACCATGCCCAGCTAATTTTTTGTATTTTTAGTAGAGACGGGGTTTCACCATGTTGGCCAGGATGGTCTCAATCTCTTGACCTCATGATCTGCCCGCCTTGGCCTCCCAAAGTGCTGGGATTACAGGCGTGAGCCACTGCGCCCGGCCTCACTCTTGCTTTTTTTTGGCTGAGCCACATAGTTGAGTGTGTGCGCGTCACATATGCCTGTGACGGTGCACTTCCGCTGCAGTGCCGCTTATTGAAGGCATCAAGACGTGAGTGGGGAGGAGTGAGAGGTGAGACTTTGGACCAGCTTAGAGGGGGTCACAAACACCTAATCCAGTTGCATGGACTTGATCTTGCAAGTAAAGGTTTTTAGGGCAGGAGGTGATAGGATTATGATTAGGGCCCAGATGAAGGAAGGCAGTGGGAGATCTAGGGACACAGTGCCATGGATGTGGGAACACAGATGGTGAAGAGGCTGGCCACAGAGTTCTGAAGTCATTTGATGGGGGTCAGCCACTCCCCACAGCAGACCAGTGTAGGTCTGTCCCCAGGCCTGAAAGGATGGGAAAGAAAGAACTATAGAGCCCACAGTCACAGCAGCCGACAGTCTCCCTGGGACACTCCCTAGAGGGGTGGGGACAGAGCAAGTCAATCACAGAGAAGGGCATAAGGGTAACTCCAAAATTATGCTGTCTGTTGTGTAATGCCTGATCCATCAGGGAGAAAAGACTGTAAGAGACCCAGAATCTTTTCCCAGCCTTGCCTCTTACACGCATGACCTTGGGCAAGTTGCAGACCACTCCCAAATCCACATCTGTAAGATGTCAAGTAGGAAGTAGGGGACCGTGCTGCACTGATCTCCTGAGCCACCCTGCCTGGTTGAGTGTGTTAGCCTGGGTTGGGCAAAAAAGCCTTGGAATCAGATTTGAACTGAAATCCTTCCCAGGGTGTCACGTTGTGTGGCTACAGAGGACAAAGTTTCACTCTCCTAAAAGTCAGGCTGGGAGGCTAGGTGTGGTGGCTCATGCCTGTAATCCCAACACTTTAGGAGGCCGAGGCGATTGGATTACGAGGTCAGTTCAAGACCAGCCTGACCAACATGGTGAAACTCTGTCTCTACTGAAAATACAAAAATTAACCAGGAGTGGTGGTACGTGCCTGTAATCCCAGATACTTGGGAGGCTGAGGCAGGATAATTGCTTAAACCTGAGAGGCAGAGGTTGTAGTGAGCCAAGATTGCACCACTGCACTCCAGCCTGGGCAACAAAGCAAGACTCCGTCTCAAAAAAAAAAAGTCAGGCCAGGAGTGACCTTCTACTCACCCTGTGCACAGCAGACCTTGTGCTCCCCAGTGGCCCACTGGGAGTTCAGGATGTGGGGGAAGGGGGCAAATTATGTGGTCTCCAAATCAGATTCTCCACGGACAGTGTCCTTTGGCATAAAGGTCCCGAGAATGTCTCCTCCAGAAGGACAGCATCGTCCGAAAGCTTGTGGCCATTCAGGTCTCAAGTTGGCAGCGGTGGCATCTGCAGTTTGGTCCTGAGGACCCACAGGCGTTCAGAGCCCATGAGTGGGGTTGGTGCTTGAGTCCAGGACGGACAGCTCCCAAGCAGGGGTTTCTCCTGGGTCCACAGGCCCCGAGGTCCCACAGCCTTGTCCGTGGAGGAGGGTGAGGCGGCCTGTCTCTGGCCTTGGCAGAGCTCAGGTCCCACTGTCTTCCTGCCGCACACACTCAGCGCTATGCTGGAGGACAGTGGCACGCTGAGCTTGTCTTACACACAGAGCATGCTTCTTTGGATCACCTTCACTGCCGCCGCTCAGTCCTTCCTCATCATCAAACGCTAATCTGCATTTTTAAGTCCGTCTCCTCCACTTGACAGTAAGTTTCATGAGGGCAGGGGCTTGTAAGCACATAGTAAGCATCTAACAAATATCCGTTGATTAAATAAATGAATGACTCTGTAAACCTCCCTCCATTGCTGACACCCCACTGTTGGGGGTCAGAGTTGGGGTCAGCAGTGGGAATGAGGTCAGGGATGTCTGTGGGGCACAATTTTAGGATGAAAGCCAGTAATTTCACACTTTGACATACCCACTTTTATGTGGCCAATAAGAAACAATTGGGTTTGGTGCCAGAACTCTCATTAGCTACCATGCAGAGCCTAGGAGGCACTGGAGCTGAATTGCCTCAGGACGGCTGCAGAGCAGGGGACCCAGGGCTGGCCATGGGCATAGAGCAAGCTTGGCTACTGCTGGAGGTGCCTGTATGAGACTGTAGTTAGCACCCTACACATCATGGACAGCCTGGAGCAGCCTGGCCCGGGAGGAAGACATCTACGCCTTCCCACCCACCTGACCTGACTCCATCCGGCTGAGGAGCTGCTTCCCAGGCTGCAGACAGCAGCAGTGTTCCAGACAGACTGGCTTTCCACATGTGTGCCAAATTCACCCCACCCTGGCCCAGAACCACCCAGGTGAACAGACTTTTTTTTTTTTTTTTTTAGACAGTCTCTGTTGCCCAAGCTGCAGTGCAGTGGCACGATCATGGCTCACTTCAGCATCAACTGCAAAGGCTCAAGCGATTCTTCTCCCTCAGCCTCCCTCATAGCTGGGACCACAGACATATGCTGCCACATCCAGCTTTTTTTTTTTTTTTTTTTGAGATGGAATTTCACTCTTGTCCAGGCTGGAGTGCAACGGTGCAATCTTGACTCAACACAACCTCCGCCTCCTGGATTCAAGCAATTCTCCTGCTTTAGCCTCCTGAGTACCTGGGATTACAGGCACCACCATGCCCAGCTAATTTTGTATTTTTAGTAGAGATGGGGTTTCTCCATGTTGGCCAGGCTGGTCTTGAACTCTTGACCTCAGGTGATCTGCCCACCTCAGCCTTCCAAAGTACTGGGATTACAGGTGTGAGCCACCGCACCCGACCACTTTTTTTTTTTTGTTTCATAGAGACGGTTTCACTATGTTGGCCAGGCTGGTCTCAAACTCCTGAGCTCAAGTCATTCTCCCACGTCAGCCTCTCAAAGTGCTGGAATTATAGGTGTGAGCCACAATGCCCGGCCAAGACATTTTAACACAAATTTTGTTAGCTGGCATGGTGGCACCCATATTCCCAGCTACTTGGGAGGCTAAGGCAGGATTACTTGAACCTGGACAGTTGAGGCAGCAGTGAGCCATGATCACGCCACACACTCCAGCCTGGTTGACAGCGAGACTCTGTCTCAAAAAACAAACAAAACAGACTTCTGGTTTTTACTTATTAACTCCATTAATTTTTTTTTCTGAGACGGAGGCTTGTCCCATCACCCAGGCTAGAGTGATCTTGGCTTGCTGCAAACTTGGCCTCCTGGGTTCAAGCAATTATGCCATCTCAGCCTGCCGAGTAGCTGGGATTACAGGTGCACGCCACCACACCTGGCTAATTTTTTGTATCTTTAGTAGAGACAGTGTTTCATCATGCTGGCCAGGCTGGTCTCAAACTCCTGACCTCGTGATCTGCCCACCTCAGCATTCTTAAAGTGCTAGGATTACAGGCGTGAGCCACCTTGCCTGGCGACTTCACTAATATTAAAGCTGAGGTAACTAACTCAGCCTACACAACCTTTAACACACTACCTCCCACAAAGCACTTCAAGTGGTATTACTGGATTTAGGGCTTGATAATATGGAATAAAAGACACTGATAGTACTGATTGTGCCTATTTTTATCGGTGGCTTGTTAATTATTTCTGTTTTTATTAGTGATTTTTATTTATGCACAGTGGTTAGCATGAAACTGTTAGTCATTTAGTTTCTTCCCAGTTGCAACAGCCCATCTTATTGGAAGAACAAAGCTTTAGGCTTGACTCTGAACAGCCACTAAGCGGCTTGGCGAAGGTCCTGCCATTTCTCTCATGCTCAGCAGGGGGCAGCAGACCAGGACAGTTCAGAATATGGAGTCAAACCCAGGTCCCTATCCATACTCCACCCATGGATTTTCCTTGGCTTGAGCAAGCCCTTTGACTCTCTGAGCCCTCCATGTTCTCAGAGTGACTTGAGGATTCACTGGGTGCTGTATGAGAAGTCGGTGGCCCAGACCGGGACACAAAAGAAGCCTTGATCAGTGTTTGTGGTTTGATTAAGTGGGCAAAATAGAAACACCCCACTTCTCCAGTTTCCTTTTCAGTAAAATGAGAGACACTCAGGCTCACCTCCGAGGATTTGGACTTGCCTTGATTCCATGATAGACATTCCTCTTTTCTGGGCCAGATTCTTGGGGCTGGAATCCAGGCAGCTTTGTCCCCTTTTGACATTTTCTTGTTCAGAAGGTTCTGGAAAGCTAACAGATTGAGTTTGTGACAAAAATTGACATTAACTGGCTTAGTGTAGTGGCTCACACCTCTAATCCCAAGAGGCTGGGAGAGGAGGATCACTGGAGCCCAGGAGTTCGAGACCAGCTTGGACAAAATAGTGAGACCCCATCTGTACAAAAAAACTTTTTTGAGATGGAGTCTCACTTCCTCACCTAGGCTGGAGTGCAGTGATGTGATCTGCAACCTCTGCCACCCAGGTTCAAGCAGGCCTCTTGCCTCAGCCTCCCAAGTAGCTGGGATTACAGGCACCTGCCCCCATGCCTGGCTAATTTTTATATTTTTAGTAGAGACAGGGTTTCACCATATTGGCCAGGCTGGTCTTGAATTCCTGACCTCAAGTGATCTGCCCATCTTGCCCTCCCTAACTGCTGCATGAGCCACAGTGCCTGGCCTTCTACAAAAAACTTTTAAAAAAATTACCCGGGTTTTGTGGCGTGTGCCTGTAGTCCCAGCTACTCAGGAGGCTGAAGCAGGAGGATCACCTAAGCCCAGGAGGTCGAGGCTGCAGTGAGCCGTGATCACACCACTGCACTCAGCCTGGGCGACGACAGAGTGAGACCCTTTCTTCGGGGGGGGGGGAGAAAAAGAGAAAGAAAGAAAATAACATTACTCAAGTTCAGTGAGGTTATGGTTGGAATTCCATCTTTGACACTACCCAGCTGGGTAACCTTAAGCCAGTGATCCTCCCACAGCCTACCACATCAGCATCACCTGGGAACTTGCTAGAGATGCAAACGCTTGGGCTGTGCCCCAGCCCCACTAAATGACAGTTCTGGGCGTGGAGCCCTCCAGGTGGTTGGGATGCCTCCTCCTTTGAGAACCATGGCCTTAGGCAATTCATGGAGCTCTTTGAACCAGAGTTCCCCCTACCTGGAAAACAGGTGAGAATCCTGCCCACCTGCTGCCACTGTTGTGGGGAGGATTAGAAGGGAGGTTGCACTGCAGAGTGCCCGCTGCCTGGCATAGGGAGGCCCCTCTTGCAGGAGCACCCACAGGAAACTTGCACATTTATCTTGTGTTTTCCCAGCACTTGGAGATATTGAGCGTTGATGCTTTCTCCCCTTCCTCATTTTATGGTTAGTGATTTAATGGCTTATTTGCTTTCTGGTCTGTTCTCTCATTTTACATTTAGTGATTTTTTTTTTTACTTTTCTCTTTTGCAGATAAAGACTATTTCCTGATTGTGATTCAGAATCCAACCGAATAGGCCACTCTCCTGACTCCCTGTGTCATTCCTTAATTTAATGCCCCCCAAGAATGTTAATGTCGATCATGTTAGCAGACTAGCATGTGACAGTCACCTTGGAGCCCACTCAGACCAATCCAGTGACCATGTGTGGGCTGGCGTCTCTTCCTCCCCAACCAAAGGAACCCCTGTGCTGTGCCGGCCTTCCCCAGAGCTCCGGGAGGGCCCTCCCGCCTCACTTCCAGGTTTTGGAGCAAGAACTTGCGAGAAGCCCGCACCCAGCTTCCTTCTGACCTTCAGTTCACTTTGTTGCCCTTGGAGAAGGCTGTTTTTCTTTAAGTAAAAATAACCAAAATGCTTACCCTGCTGTTGTGTCTTTAAACACTAGGTTGAAAAGGTCTCTCTTCCTGTGTAATCACACATCAGCTGCCTGGTTGCCTCTTCCAGCAATGGTGGGAGATCGTGTTCATGGCCTCCGAGAGGCCTGCTCCTTCTTGTGCTGTGGCCATACTTACTGTAGCCTGGTGTGGAATTGGTGCCCTGGTTTCTGGGCCTCCTGGCCCTAGTTCCCCTTTTACCATTTCCCACTGCTGCCAGTGTTGAAAGGTTTTTTTCCTACTGTGCTGCACTGGGGAAAGGAAGAGAGCAGTGCTTACTGAGGACCTGGAATGACCCCGTGTGTCATATACAGTAGCTCTCACCTTATGGTACCCTCTGTAGACATGAGGACCTGGGGTCATGAGGACCTGGGGTCTGAGACGGCTTGCCTGTGCCCTCATAGCCAGGACATAGGTTTCGGACTCAAATAGCCCCACTCTTCCCACACTGCCTGCCCCAGAAATCCTGAAGGGCCCCTGTTCACCCAAATAAGCCCATCCTGGGCAGACATCTGCCCCGCAGACTCGGGGTGCAGGAGTCCTCTCACTAAGGGCTTCCCCGAATTCACCTGCACTCAGGCTCCCACCCACCTCTCGGCCAGCCACACTCTTGTTTTTTTCTCTCAGAAACCACATGTATTTAATTTTATTAGGGTTTTTCTTTTTGTCTTCTGTTTCCTGTTACACAGGAAAAAGACTCTACACTGTAGTATGAGCCTGGAAATCCCCATCATTGTCCTTCTCCCTGCCCCAGAAGGCACCACTGTCTGTGAGTTCTTCCATCTAGCGATACTTCCAAAATTTTCCAATGAAGCTTCCTTAAGGCTGTCAGAGGAGTAAAATGTGTACTCTTGGGAGTTTAGGGGTGTAGTTTACAAGGGCTTGGCAAAATTTCAAAATCTACTTTAATGAAAGATAATAGGAATTTTCCATTCTATAATATATCCGTGATTGTCTTAATATAAAAATAATCCTTTCAAATAGATTTCCCCGAATCTTCAAGTAACGTTGTCTGGGAAACACTGCTTTACCCTGTCCCTGTGGACCTACGAAGCGCCCCCTGAGAGTGGATGACTTCAGACCCCATGTGGTGATTATCTCCTAGGTTCCATGCTTCAAACGAAGGTGGGCTGTGGCCAGCAGCGTCTTCCTTGTGTTCTCAGAAGCTGGGATCCGAGTCTGAGGCTCCTCCATCTTGCTTGAGTTTCTCTAAGTATAATGCGGAAGGAGGTGAGAGGAGGAGAGGTCAGGTTTCTAGGATGGGGGGTGGGTCTGTCCCTGGCGGGAGGTGTTCTGGCTCCAGAGCAAGAGTTCGGAATAGGGTTGGGGGCCTGTCCCTTTCACCTTCCCTTAGTTCCCCTGCTGCTCCCTGTTGTTTGCCTTAAAGTTCCCCATCCTAAAAGCATTCCATCAAGGTCCTGGGGAAAGTTTCTTAGGAAAATGAAGATACTCTGCCTCCCAGTCCCTTGAGCACCAAGATTTTGTACACCAGGAGCCCACCATGTGCATTAGGAGTTTGTAATGCAGCAAGGCAAGCATAATTCCCTGGACTCATCTTAAGACATAAAAATTTAGGCCTGGCGCGGTGGCTCAAGCCCGTAATCCCAGCACTTTGGGAGGCTGAGGTGGGCGGATCACGAGGTCGAGATCGCGACCATCCTGGTCAACATGGTGAAACCCCATCTCTACTAAAAAATACAAAAAATTAGCTGGGCATGGTGGCGTGTGCCTGTAATCCCAGCTACTCAGGAGGCTGAGGCAGGAGAATTGCCTGAACCCAGGAGGGGGAGGTTGCGGTGAGCCGAGATCGCGCCATTGCACTCCAGCCTGGGTAACAAGAGCGAAACTCCGTCTCAGAAAAAAAAAAAAAAAAAAAAAAAAGACATAAAAATTTGGCCTGGTGTGGTGGTTCCTGCCTGTAATGTTATCCCAGCACTTTGGGATGTCAAGGTGGATCGGTTGCTTGAGCCCAGGAGTTCAAGACCAGCCTGGGCAACATGGCAAAACCTCGTCTCCACCAAAAATATGAAAATTAACTGGGCGTGGTGGTGTGCGCCTGTAGTCCCCAGCCACTGGGGAGCCTGAGGTGGGAGGATCACTTGAGGTTGAGGCTGCAGCAAGCTATGAGTGTGCCACTACACTCCACCTAGGTGACAGAGTGAGAACCTGCCTCAAAAAAAATATGAAAAGTTTATGGCCACAGAGAAGGTTTACAGGGGAAAAAAAAAAGGTTAAAATTCAGATTTTTCTTTTTTAAGATAGTGTTTCACCATGTTGGTCAGGCTGGTCTTGAACTCCCGACCGCAGGTGATCCACCCACCTTGGCCTCCAAAGTGCTTGGATTACAGGCATGAGCCACCACGCCCAGCCAGATTTTTCTTTTTTAAGACGGAGTCTATCGTCCAGGCTGGGGTGTAGTGGTGTAACCTCAGTTTACTGCAACCTCCACCTCCTGGGTCCAAGTGATTCTCCTGCCTCAAACCTCAGCCTCCTGAGTAGCTGGGACTACAGGTGCCTACCACCACACCTGGCTAATTTTTATATTTTCAGTAGAGACAGGGTTTCACCATGTTGGCCAGGATGGTCTTAATCTCTTTACCACGTGATCCGCCTGCCCTTGGCCTCCCAAAGTGCTGGGATTATGGGTGTGAGCCACCTCGCCCAGCCTTAATTTTTGTATTTTTTTGTAAAGATGGGGTTTTACCATGTTGGCCAGGCAGGTCTCAAACTTCTGGCCTCAGGTGATCTTCCTGCCTCGGCCTCACAAAGTGCTGGGATTACAGGCATGAGCCACCACGCCTGGCCAAAATTCAGATTTTTAAGAATCTGAATAATGGTATTCCACATAAACAACTCCACTGTTTCTGTACTCAGAAGTAGCGTGTATGCTATCGAGGTTAGAAACTGACAACTGTCGTAGGCCTGGAAGGAAAAGCATGGGTTCTGAGTTCAGAAGGACATTTGCCAATACAGCAAAGGCATGCCCGCACCCAGTATTTTTCTTTTTTTAGATGGAGTCTCTGTCGCCCAGGCTGGAGTGCAGTGGCGCAATCTTGGCTCACTGCAGCCACCTCCGCCTCCCAGGTTCAAGGGATTCTCCTGCTTCATCCTCCTGAGTAGCTGGGACTACCAGCATGCGCCACCATGCCTGGCTAATTTTTGTATTTTTAGTAAAGACAGGGTTTCACCACATTGGCCAGGCTGGTCTCAAACTCCTGACCTCATGATCTGCTTGCCTAGGCCTCCCAAAGTGCTGGGATTACAGGCGAGAGCCACTATGCCTGGCCAATTTTTTAATGAAAAACTTCAAACCTATAGATAATTGAAATAATTGTGTATCTTCCATCTCAATTCTACAGTTAACCATTTTGCTATATTTCTGTATCACATAACTTTCCATTCTTCCATCTACCTATCTTTTTATGCATTTCAAAGTATATTGCAGGTAGTACCTGCCCCTAAGCACTTCCACGTGTATATCAGTAACTAGTTTGTTTTCTGTTTTTGAAGGATGGGTAAGATTTACATAGAGTAAAATGCACAAATCTTTTTTTTTTTTTTTTTTTCCCAGCACTTTGGGAGGCTGAGGCGGGTGGATCACGAGGTCGAGAGTTCGAGACCATCCTGGTCGACATGGTGAAACCCCGTCTCTACTAAAAATACAAAAAATTGGCTGGGCATGGTGGCACGTGCCTGTAATCCCAGCTACTCAGGAGGCTGAGGCAGGAGAACTGCCTGAACCCAGGAGGCGGAGGTTGCGGTGAGCCGAGATCGCGCCATTGCACTCCAGCCTGGGTAACAAGAGCGGAACTCCGTCTCAAATTTTTTTTTTGAGACGGAGTTCCGCTCTTGTTACCCAGGCTGGAGTGCAATGGCGCGATCTCGGCTCACCGCAACCTCCGCCTCCTGGGTTCAGGCAGTTCTCCTGCCTCAGCCTCCTGAGTAGCTGGGATTACAGGCGTGAGCCACCGCGCCCGGCAAATGCACAAATCTTTGAAGTGACAAATGTGACCCCTGAGTAACCTCACAGCCCTTTCAGGAAAGCAGCTGCTGCTTCTTCGCAGTTGGCCCAGCCCACTCCCGAGAGGCCACCCCGTTCTCATTTCCTCCAAGTACGATTTCTGCCCTCTAAGGTACAGCTCTTGCCTGGGCTCCATGAGCAGGGCCTGCATCTCAGGGAGGTGGTTGCTTCTCGGGAGGTGCTGCAGCTGCCATCTCCCTTTGGCATTCATGCCTCACCTCAGCCCTGGCCACAGCTCCCTGGAATTCAGATCCTCCTCTGCGAGCTGGTACTGCCTTTTCTCCAGCAATTAAAAATGTTCCAAGGATTCTAGGTTTTCTCGCCTTCCGTATGTTTTTGGCTCTGAGACAGTGCATGTTGGCACATTTTTCGTTGAGAATCCTAAAAGCCATCTTTCCATACCAAATTCCAGAAAAAGAAAAAATGAGAAATGGAAGTCTCAGGTTCCATTGTCACAGCAGGTAGAAATCAATAAGTCACCAAATCCATCAAATTAGTAAGCACAACCCAGTGTGCGTGAACTTACACTGATCAATTATGTGTTCAGTTGAGATGACAACACAATTACAGAACGTGTTCAAAATGCTGGTCCTACTGCTGTGGCAAACAAGCTTAATCCAATCAAAAGCACCTTGATTGTGGTCTCCCGCTGTCTAACTTTACTCTTTAGGGTGTGTTCTGCCCCATCCCTAGGTGAGATGTGGGGCAAGCCCTGCCCTGGGCAGATGAAGACCCTTGCCTACCACAGGAACAACGCCTCTGAGCCCCATTTGGAGAGAGAGGCCACCCCTCTCACCGCGGGCCCACACGGAACCTCGCTCTCTTCACGGGGAGAGCAGCTCGTGTTTGGCCTTGGTTTTATTTGCCACTTGGTGCTGTCACCTCTTTTGCCCAGGTTGCTGAGGGGCGTGAGGTTCATCATTCACTGAAACTGCTGTGAGCGGGCTTCTGGCTCCCGAGCCT